TCTAAGCAAGCTGTTTCCTAGCTTAGCTTATCTCCACAGCCTGTACGTGTGGCTTTGTTCCTAAGAAGGAAAGATGAAGGCTGCAGTTCCCACAGCCAAGGGTGGTGCTTTTAATCCAAAAACCCACTTCCAGGGCTCTTCCCTTGGAGCAGACACCTCTCTTCGTGGCTTCTTCTGATGAACGTCTTTGCAAGGAGGTGAAAAAACAGAGTTGAGTAATAAACTCACCATGAGAATCACGCGTGCCTGAAGGTCAAAGTTGCCTTTAAAAAATAAAAAAAAAAGCAAAGATCCAAAATGTGCACGGAGGACACCCTCAGCTGAAGCCTTGCTTTGATGTGCCAAGGTGGTATCGCCTGCCATAATGTTCTCAAGTCCCTCTTATGACTGTTATAAATCAAACAGGATCTTACACCACCAAAGAAAAAGCACTTGGAATATTTTAAATATCTCCAAGCCACCCTATCACACACCCTCTCTGGTACGTTGGAAAATATTCTGCATTCCAGTTGAATTTACATTCTTTTCCAGGGTATGAAAAAGTGAAGAAGGGTAAATGCCACACAGCCTGTTCTCTTGGAAACATTTACATTCAAAAACACAGAGGGGGCAGAATCCATTGGGGAGGGTAGGGGCCCAGGGTCCGTCTTCACCAATGTAGGGGTTACAGGGTGGCTGGCCAGCCCACTGGAGCTCAAGCCATCTTCCATGCATGTAGCCCAACAAGCAGAGATCAAACCTAGCCTTTCTTGGACTCTCTGTAAACCACTAGTAACCTCGGAGCACCACACCCTCCTTCTGGTCCTTGCAAGCTCTCTCAGTTGGAAACCCGCCAACTCTGTCAGATCAGAAATGCCCTAACTCTGCACCCCATTTTTTTTTAAATGCCTAGTTTTCCTGTTCTGCTTCATTGAGTCTTCCAGAATTCCTCTGCTGCTGAGTTAAAACAGTACTCGGTGCCTATCTTTGAGTCGGCCGAAAATTACAACAGGAAAACAATTTTGTTTCTTTGCAGGCAGGCACCAATTTTAATACACCCACTCAGAACTAAGAATACAAATAAGGTGCGCTGCATGTCTAAACCCAACAGGAAATTAATAAAAGAGTGAAAAGCAGGAAAAGGCCACTTTAGACATTGGTAGCTGAGTGGGGCTGGGATGAGAGTCGAAGGCCACCAATGGCCATTGCAACGGAACAGAAGAACCCCGAAAGCCCCACAATCTCCGGGGCCACAGCCTGCATCACCCGTCCTGGCACGGTGGGCTGTGCAACAAGGCCCGGGCTGTTATTTGGGAGGCTGCCTCGGAGCATGTGCAGAGGGGATCTAGATGTGGGAAAATTCCCACCACCTTCAGGGTTTTTAGGGCACTGAAGCCTCTTCGTTTATCTACTTCATTTTATCGTCCTTTTTGGGAGGGAAAACAGCCTCGGCTTAGGAAGTTCCCCGGACATCATTTGGAACTTGGGTCCGTCTGCTTGTAAGCCGAGTTCGGGGAAGATGCCGGCTTCCCTCCTCCGCCACAGCATCCCTCTTGCCCGGTTCCGCAGGGGCTCTACCGAAAACCTTCCACCTGTTGCCGCTTCTCCTCGGAGAAACTCCCGCCTAGGAGGAGCTCCGGCGCCGGGCAGCGCTGCCTTCCCGGGAACCCGCCAAGCCCCGAGAGCGCAGCCGGCGGAGCCCCGGGACAGAAAGACCGCAGGAGAAGCGAAGCGGAGGAAAGTCCAGCGGCTCCCGGCCTCTCGCAGCTCCGCCGCCGGGGCCCGACGGGCTCGGGGGAACCGCTCTCCGGGGGCCGCCTCGAGAGGAGCCCGCCCGCCGCCGCCGCTTCTCCGGGCTCTTCTGCGGGCCGGGCAACCCGGACACACTCGGGGGGCCGTGGGGCGCCTGGGACGGCAGGCAGGCGGAGGGACCGTCGGGGCCGGCCGGGCGCCGCTTACCTTGGCGGCTGGTCTCCAGCTGGCCGTAGTTGGGGACGCGGCGGCTGCTGCTGCGGGGCTTCTTGACCAGGAAGGAGCGCGGCATGGCAGGCGGGCGGTGGGTCGGCCGGCCGGCCGGGCAGGTGGCATAAAGCCGCGGCCTCATTAGCATGGTCCCGCCGCCAGCCAACCGCCGCCCGAGGGGCCGGCCGGGGCCTCCGCCGCGCCGCCCCTTCCCCGGCAGGTGCAAAAGGCCGGGCGGGGGGAGGGAGACCCCTCCCGCCCTCCCCAGGAGGGTCCAGCTCGGACTCGGGGGGGGGGGGCATCATTTGGGCGGAGGGAGGCGGACCCCTCGCTGCTCCTAATCACCCCCACACTTTGCGCAAAGGGGGGAGATGCGTCTGAGGGACCAGTGCAGGATTTTTTGGGGGGTGGGGGGCGGCGTTGGGGAGAGAGACTCCTGCAACACCACAAAAACGAGACCGGACCCAAAAGTTTTCCAGGACTTTCCCACAGGCCGATGCACCGAGGGGAGAGCAGCCCAAACAGCAACCAGCATTCAGGATGGATGAGCGGATGAAAAAACTGGACTGCCCCCCCCCCCCCCCC